GGTAGTGGTAGTTCTAGTGGTAGTGGAACTACTACTAATAGTAGTAATAGTAAGAGAAACAATAACAATCATCATTTTTCTTCTCCATCTTGAGCCTTTCAGCCTTAAACCCTCAACCCGGAAGCGCAAAGCCTTTCGAATGAACTCTTCACCCTAAACCCCTAACCCGGGCCTTGATCGCCTTAGAGGTGGGCTCTGCACCCATGCCTTGGGGCTTGCAGACTTCTCATATGATTGCGGTAATAATAGCTAGAACAAGGCTTCTTTTAACAGGTTCGTTTAAGGGCTCCTGAGGAATAGCATGTTGAAAAAACTCGGGCTTGTATCATAGGTTTGCGCTTCCTTCGGTGTCTAGAGCCTGGGACCCGGTCGGCGAGCNNCGCAAGCCACCGGCAGAACCTGAGTATTGGGGCGAGGTTTCAGAAGCTACACTGAAGAAGCAACTCTTCTAGACAAGCCCAAAGCCCATTCAGCCAACATTGAATTCAACGCCTCCCTGATGTTTGCAGTAGGCCACATGCAACAAAGATACTGCTGAGTTCCACAATTGTCCCGGCTTCCCTGTATTCATGACCATCACGCTTGTCATGTATCGCACGGGAATCAAGCATGCTACTGCCATCAGCAGGTGCATGATCACTAATTTGGAATGCAACTACTTTCAAAACAACCGACAACGCTAACCACTAACACTATCAGTCATATCTGCCCTAGCCTTTTGGATGATTATTCTCGTCAAGGTCACCAACAAGGCTAGCTCCTCCTGCCGTCTGGCGTGCCTTTTCGACACTGTTTTCACAGTTTTGCACCAGTTGGGCGATCCTCTTGGGCCTTTCCATGACGATTGACGAAACCCTAAACCCTAAACCCNNCATTGCCCAGAGAGCCCAATACCCTTTTATTAAGGAATATACCTTCAATCATTGGGGCCTTAATATCATGGTTTAAGGTATCTTCCTTAGATAAGGAGTATTGAGCTCTTCGGTAAATGCCTAGGCCTAAACCCACGACTCAGAGTGCCGAGGTCTCCACCCCCTTGGCCTCCAGGGTGCGGCTCATGAGCCCAGCGGCAATGCCCGGGTTCGTGTCCGCACCTCGGAGTTTGGGGGTTTAGGGGTTCAAGGGTTTAGGGTTTAGGGGTTCTCAACTTCACTTCATCCTTCGATGGTGCGACCTCTTTTTGCATCTGCGTCTGCGGTCGTCCCAGTAAACACAGGCCACTGCTTTTTGACTCCGCCCATATCCTCCACCCATTCCAACCATATATCACGCAGGCTGCCGGCCACCGGCAAAATAAATCCATAACCAAGTCGGCGTCGCGGTTTGCAACTGCTTAGCCACAAGCAGTACAGACCTAAAGGTGTCCAGCAGGGAAAAGACGCGCTGCCTAGCCGCTGGAGCCAAACCCCGCGCAAAGACACCCGCCGCAGCATGAGCCACCACAGGATATTCTTGGCATCGGCAAGCAGAGGTCGAGTGCGAGGAGGCGGGCCCCCCAGCGAAGCTTGCATTGCCACCCGTAAACCAGGACCGTGACAAGGAAGGAATGGTTGCTGATGAGCCGGCTTTGGTCCGGCTTGCTTCCCGTAGCCACTTGATTGTTCAGGGCATCCTGCCTCTCCTTCACGCTGGCGAGCTGCTCGGCGAGCTGGGGCAACATGGATGTCAAAAGGGACATATGCTGGGCAAGGTCCGCAGCGGTAACTTTCTTCTTTGCCGCCGCCTTCTTGGCTTTTGCCTTGCTAGCCGGGGCTCCTACCTCGACCGGAAAGCCAGACGATCTGACTGAAGGTCCGCTGCCACGCCTTAGCCGCTGAGAGGAGCTCGTCGCTCAGAGGCACGGCCTTGGGCTGATGCAAATGGAAGGGGAAAATTCTCCGGAGTCATGTCCACCCCAAATCCCGCAGCAAGGAATCACATCCACGCCAAGTCCACCAGCAGCACGGCGACCTCCAAATCCAGAGGTTACTCTATCCCCTGCCGTTCCCATAGGAAGGGTGATGAGAGGGGCCCACCAGGCTGACAGCATCGGCCATCCAGGGTGGCAAGAGACAAAAACCCGCAAGAAATGCAAAGAAGCGCCGCTTCATGACCGGGATCGCCACCGTTTCGGGCACTGGGGCCGTCCGCCCTGACTCGGGCCAACTCAGAGCCATGAGCCTTGAGGCCCTGTCCCAAAGCACCTCGAAGGAGGAAATGTCCGTCATTGCTCCTTTGGCACGGCAACACCGGCGGCGTCGCAGAACACCTCAATCTCTTCAAGGGAAGCAAAGCTCGGGCACGCGGTTGAGTGCCCTCAAGAGTACCTACGGTTTCTTCGAAAGATCGGCCCGAGGAATAAAGCGCGGGGCAGTCCAGCCCTTCACAGCGCAGCACGACAAAGAAAACGGGGCCAGGAAGCCTCTAAGCACCTTGTCTTGCAAAACCAATCGAGTCCACTAGTCCAAACCCGAAGTGCACGGCCCTTAGGAGAAGAGCCTGACCCGGTGAAAGCTCGACAGGCCCGAAGACAGCGGTCAGGCAAAGGAGCAAAATCAGCCTCCAGCCGATTATAGCCGTGAGCTACCCTGCAGAAGCTCGGAATGGCGAACCTCAGGGGTCCCTGGAGCCGCACAGGAACCTCACTAGAAACACTAGGGGCCGGATTGGCAGGCTGGATGGTGAGTGACAGCTGCTGAAGGGAATCGGCAAGATGATTGATGGCAGAAGTCAGGTCTTGATCACCCATTCAGGTAGGACCGAAGGCGGAGATGAGAGGGCCTCCTGGGCAAGGAGGCTTCGGAGGCAGATGGTGAAGGAAAGCGCTCCCGGCAAGGCACCTTGAAAAGGGTATCCGGAGAAGCCACAAAGTAAGCACCACCCTCGAAGAAACCCCGAAGCCAAAGGTCAGGCAAAGGATCAAGATCGAACTTTGGCAGCAGGAAGGGCAGCCCAACACCCGTCTGCACGAGGCGCAGCGCCTGCTCGATCCACATTTTCTTGAGCGGCGGACTGCGCTCATAACTCGCACCTATGCAACAAGGTTTGGGGGTCTTGGGGTTTGGGGGTTTAGGGTTTAGGGGTTTAGGGCCTGTTTAGGGTATAGGATAGAGGGTTTAAGGGTCCAGGACCAGGCCGAGGTTTAGGGCGCTGGAGATGAAGAAATCCTCGTCCTTTGAAGACGGAAGAACCCAAAACCCCCTCTAAAAGAGTCCACGGGCGTTCTAAAGTGTACGGCCTTTATAGATTAGAACCAGGCTTTGAGGAAGCTACATTATGGAGTATGCTCCCTAAACCCTAAAAGGCCTGAACCCTAATAAGCCCTCATCCAAAACCACCAACCCTGAAGCGAAGAAGTCCACTCAGCACTCGGCTGATGTAGACCAGTTCGTGTGGCTCCTGTAGGAGCATCGGAGGAAGGGATCCAATTCTCAGGGTTGATAAGGGGCCGGGGAACCTTGTGGGGGTGATTTCGGTGTTGCGGCCCAATGGGGCTCAAGGGGGCTTAATGGGGGCAAATGGGAAATCCATGAGGCCCCACTGCCCCCCAACCGGCCGGAACATGCCCATTCGGCAAAGTGCAACCCATAGGGTCCCCTCCACGGGCCCCTCATCAACTCTGTGACCAATGCAAATGTGGAGGGTTTGGGGTTTAGGGGTTTAGGGATTAGGGATTTAGG